TGTCTGCGACACCCAGGCACCTTTCCCAGCACGAGGAGCAAACCTCCTCCTCATCCTTTATTTTTAATGCAAGCCCCATTCCTCCCATTGCAGTGTGGATGTTGTAATTACAGAGCACAGAATCCCAGCTTTTAGAGCTCTGTGACCACAAGAAAGTGAATCCAGAAACCAGGCTGGTTTCATTTGCTGCCATTCCAGCTGATTTCCTGCCCCCACCATGGCTGTGCAGTGCTGAAGGCTTGGCAGGGACCAAAACCAGCTGTCAAAAAGGTTTCTTACCCCCACACTTTCAAGTTAATGATGTTCTGAAATTAATGGTGCGCCAGGCTAATCCTGGATCTCATTTGGATGGATTTTGCCGGGGATGTTTCCCAACTGGGCTGGGGAAGTGAATCCCCAGGTCCCAGGAAAAAAGAAAAAAAGGATGGAAAACCACCCTAAGTGTTTACAGCTTTAATTTGGTTGGTGTATTGTGGTTTTCCAGCGAGCTTTCAGTAACTTTTGGAAGCTGTGGATGAGCTCTTCCACTGCTCAGAGCCAGGGCAGTGGCAGTGTCTGGGTGTCCCCTTGCTCTGGAGGTGGCTGTGGGCACAGGAGAGGCTCCAGCCTTGGCACAGGGGGGAAAAGCTGAAGGGGCTGAGTTGGATTAGCTGAGGGAAAATTTAAAAAGCTAATTCAAGTAATTAGCTGAGGGAAAGGAGACAGAGCAAAGGTGTGTGAAAGAACAGGGAGGTTGGAACCCTGGCACAGAGGGGTTGTGGAGTCATCCCTGGAGGTGTCCCTGGACAGGGTTTGGGGACAGTGGGAGGTGGCCCTGCCATGGCAGGGGTGGCACTGGGTGGGATTTGGGCTCTTTCCAACCCAAACCATCCCAGGTTCTGTTCTCTGTCCTGCCTCCCTGGGGACAGGACCAGGAGCTGCTGGGTTGTGTGCTGGGAGGGCAGATCCAGGTCAGGCTTAAGGAAAAGCCTCCTAAATGTTCCTGTGGAATAATCCAGGCTGGGTGCCTGCAGAGGGAGGGCAAATCTCAATTTGTGCCTGGCCAGGTGATCCTCTCCTGGGACAGGTGCATTTCCCACATTCTCTGTACTTCCATGGCTTAACCCTTTAACACCCTGCTGGGTCTGTGGCAGGGGGCTCATGCACCTTTCCCTGTGTAACCCAAGTGCAATAGACTTTGAACCAGCAGAATTGCTGCATTTGACAACTTGCAGATCAAAAGTTCTGCTGGTGAAATTTACCCCCAGGCCTGTGATATCAAATCCTTCCAATTTGGGAAGGAAGCTCCCTTTGGTTGGCCTGGGGCTGCTCCAGGGCTGATGTTCCCCGGGGATGGGGATGGANTTGATCTATGAAGTGTTTTCAATACAAGGAAAAGATTCTGGTGCTTGGTAGATGCCCACATAATGTTACATAAAGAGGAGATCTGTTCTCCAAAGCCAAGACAGGATTTACAGAATTCCTTTGCCTGCTGCATTGTGGTTCATAGAAACCACAGGATCCTGGGATGGTGTGGGTTGGGAGGGACCTTAAAGATCCTCCAGGTACAACCCAGGGCACCTTTTGTTGGACATTGTAGTGACTGTGTTGGGTTTTAATGGACATAAGGACTTGGGAATAAATTCCTTCCAAGAATGACTTCCCTAATTTTGGGTTCCAATTCTCTCCCTCACCCTGCATGATTCCTCACACAGTTTTTCCCTCTCTTTTTGCCCTGCAGTTGTGGCCTTCCTGGTGGCCTTTCACCAGAACAAGCAGCTGATAGGGGAGAAGGGGCTGCTCCCCTGCAAGCTCTACCTGCAGGATGTCAAGAAATACTTCAAGGGGAAGGTTGGCCTGGATGCCCTGAGCTATGCCCCCACTCTCATCTGGTTCCTGGACTGGTCTGCCATGGACAGCACCCTGGACTGCCTGGCCCTGGCTGGCCTGGCAGGGGCAGCCTTTGTGCTGCTGACTGGCTGTGCCAACATGGTCCTCATGTTCCTGCTGTGGCTCCTCTACCTCTCCCTGGTCAACGTTGGACAGATCTGGTGGGTCCTCAGTCCCTCTGCTCTCCTTTTCCCTCGTGCTCTTTGTGGTACATGTTGGTTTTTCCTGGTGCAGTCCAATTTGAGGTTGTTCCTCACCAGATTATTCCTGTAGGAGTGTGAGATAAGGACAGCACCTGGCAGGAATGATTTATGGGGATAAATGATTTATGGAATGTCTTGGCCAGGATATCTGCCCTGAGTTCTCCTCTGCTCGTTGGTGCAGGGTGGGATTTGATGATCTTCATTCCATAATTCCATGGCATTCCTTGACATTCCACACTGTTGTCCCAGCTGTGCAGTGCTTCCCCTCATGGCTGTTGAAGGGAATTCCCTCAATCATTACTTTTAGGGTTTTTTAGGGTTTCTCAGTTTTCAGCTCTGTCCAGGAGAGAGCTGCAATCTGTGTTTCACACTAAGCACAGAAGGTTTGTGGGGGGAAAAGGAGAAACCCTGACTCCTGTAAGTCACCCTGCTGCAGGGGAGGCTGTGCTGCTGAAATAAAGGGTTTGGCTGGTTCTTGCTGTTGTTCAGGCCCCAAATGCATTGTTTGAAAGAGGATGAAAACCCCAAATCTCATCAGGTCACCCCCTGAGGTGCCTCTGCTTGCAGCTGAGCTCGTGTGGAGGGAGAAGCTTCTGCCATCAGGAGCTGCCCAGGGAGATTCTTCCCAAATGTTGGCTTTACAGCAGGGCACCTTTTCCCCAGATGGGCTCAGTGGGTTTGATTTTAAGGGTGTGCATGTGCTGCCCTGTTCATTCCCATCCTACTGCAGCTGGAATGTCAGTGGGTGAAGGAGAGCAGCCTCTGAAAAGCTCCATTCTCTGAGCTCTTAACTCAGCACCGACCTAAAGCTGGGACACCAAGCCACAGAGCTGGACAAATAACTCACTGGATGGTTTGCCATTGCCTGTTCCCAAATTATTCCAGGATTTCTTGTCTGTTTTCTGCATGTTTTAATGTGGAAGGGCAGGAATTCAAGCATCCTCCTGCTCTGGCTTCCAGGGGTACGGGAGCAAAACCTGGCTGTGATCCTTGACTTCCTCCTCTTTGTGTTTCTGTTTGGAGGGGAGAAAGAAAGGGAAAAATCCCCAAAACCTCCCCCTGAAGCTGCCAAGGTTTTGAGGCTGAGCTCTGGAGCTGCAGTGACTCTGGGGCTGGAGGTTTGATGTGTTAATTCCTGGAGCAGTGGGGTAATTAAGACGGGCTCTCTTCATTAGTGCCCACAGCTCTCTGCAGTGCTCCCTGTGCTGTAGAGCTCTTGTAGTTTTATTATTTTTTAAAAAACCCCACCTAGAATGTGTGTTTTCCATATTTTGGGGCAGTGGGTGCTGTGCTACTCCTCTGCTCCCACTTTTCCTGGCATGGGGGGTCCTGGCTCCTCTGACACCCTGCAGAACTCCTGAGGTTTTCCCAAAATAATTCCAGTTGTGCCTGGTGAGCTCTGGGTGCTGTTTTGGCACCTTTTTAAGTAAGAGGCAAAGCGTGGGAGGTACAGAGGGGAGCCCTTACCCAAACCCCAGTTCCTGAGCAGGGGAAGCTCAGGGATGAGTGCTGGGGTCCCCTCCCAGCTCCAGGACAATGATCCTGGCAGGAATGAACCTGGAGCCTGTTGTGCTTGAAAGGAATTGACTCCTGATACCTGAGATAAGGCTGGATTTATTTTTTCCCCTCCTTTGCTCCTTGAGATTTGAGGGGTGAAATTTAGCCTGGTGTACAACAAAAACTCACCAAGAGGAAGGGGGAAGAGAAAGGGGGGATTAGAGGTGTTCCCTCAGCTGCTTTTCCTCTTAATTTCAGTATTAATCGGGAAATGAGGTGGAAGAGCTGAGGGAGAAGACTCCAGCTCATTTTCCATCAGATCCTCTGGAATAACCCAGGTTATTCCAGTATGACGTGGAACTCCCAGGACAGAGGGGTGCTGGCTGCTTCCAGTGCAGGGAAACAGAGGGAAGGAACAAAGCAGAGCTCTCTCAATGCTCCCTGTTCTTCAGGAGTTGTGGTGCTGCAAAGGGAGGGGCTCAGAGTACCCAAAATCTGCAGTATTGGCCCTAAAACCAAGGCTGGCCCTAAAACCAAGGCTGGCTTTACATCTCTTCCTCACACTGGTTTCTAGGTGGGGTTAGATGGGGCAGTGATTGTCCTGCTCCCAGTTTGGGGCAGGCTGGGAGGCTTTGATGGGTTCTGTTGCTTCTCCAGCTCTCCTGAAGGGGGAAGGACAATGCCAGGCATTCCTGGCTGGAGTGATGGGGCAGCCCAGCAGAGAGGTCTCTGAAATGAGCAGGAAATTCCTCCCGTGGCCCAAATATATTTTTAAACTCCTTTGTGGCTGAAAATAAAAACATTATTTTGATTTTTTTCGTGCAACCCTGCTGTCCCTATCCACTGGCCAACCTGGGCTCCTGTGAGCCGCCCCTGTGGGCTCTGCCCATCCACCAGGATCCTCTGCTGAGCCTCCCTGGGCAGCCCCTCCAGGGCAGATGCAGCAGGATCAGCAGGAATAGAGCTCTCTTCTCTAGGCCAGAGAGGCACAATTTATTCCTTTTATCGCCCTTTTGTCTATTTTAATTTTAAATGTCCCTATTTGTTTTGGGCTGCTGAAGGAGCAGCTCTTTCAACTGCTGCCCAGCTGGCTTGGGCTCAGCCCGGGGAAGCTTCAGAAGAGCAAAGTGTGGCCTTTGAAGGGCAGGACACATTCCCTGCCTGGCAGCTGGGGACAGCACAGCTGAGGGTCTGAAACCCCTCAGAAAACTCCTCTGAGCTGTTTGCAGGATAAGGAGCATTTGGGCAGCCTAAAATCCCAAGAACCAGGCCCAGCCTGTGGCCCTTGGCTTTGCCAGTTGGTTGTGCTTGACTCTCAGCAGCCTGGAATGAGATATACCTTGGTGGTTCTCACAGTGAAGTGGCCTTGCAGAGAAATGGATTTATTCTGGTGCCTGGGAAGTGTGGGCTGGGGATTGCCAGGGCTTTCCACCTTGAAATGTGCTGGGTTTTGTCGTGCTGGGATTCCCAAACCAGCTGTGGGTCTGTGCAGACTAAACCTGGATGTGTTTGGGGTCAAGGCCACCCATGTGATGGTGTCACACTTCCATCAGAAGCTCAGTGTGTCTGCCTTAATATACTGGATTTTTTTTTTTCTTCTTTTTTCCCCATCTGCCACTTTGAACTTTTTCCTTTTGAAGTAGGAGACTGTCAAGGAGTTCAAAATCTGCCAGGGCAGAGGAATATTTAATATCTGACCTGTTGGGTGAAGTGCTGAATCATTATGTTCATTTTAACCTTGATTATTCCTGTCATTTTTGCAGTAGTAAAATAGGAGTAAAGTGGTGGTAGTCAGTTTGAGTCGAGTAGAAGCTGTTTTAAAAAGATTTTTGTGGGAATTCCTTGTGGCCCAACATCCATTATGCAGCTTGTCCAGAGTGCAGCTCCACTTGTCCCACACAAATGGCTTTGCCTTTCTCCCCACTTCCCCCTGAATATTCCCATCGTGGATTTTCATCCATTTAAACAGGAATATGGGAAAAGCTTGGTTGGTTTAATCAAAATCCTCGTTGCAGGTGACCCCAGGAAGGCTCCATTTGTGGTGTGGGATTGTGTTTGTGGGGATGAGCAGGACAAGCTCTGTGGGAGAGGCTTCCAGCAGGAATTAAATCAGTTTTTGTACCAGAATCACTAATGCACTTCTGAAATGACTGAGTAATTCTGGGATAAATTCACTTTTATCCCCCACTAAGGTGTCTCCAGAGAGCTATTACATTTTCTTATAGAAACAAACTTTTCAGCTACTCTGCCACTGATCTCCTGTTTCTTCTCCTGTTGTTTCCTCCCTTCCAGCATTTCCAACTGGCATCTGCAAACCCTTCCTTCCCCTGGGTTATTGTGTTCCCAAAGCTCATTGCCCATTGTTAGACAGCACAGATTAAAAAAAAAAAAAAAAAAAAAACAACCTAGAATTGTGGGGTTTTAAATCCAGTTGCCTTTATTTTCTTTCTAGATTCTGGTTGAGTTACAGGAGCTCAAGGGAATAAGTTAAACAAGGCAATAAATAAAATGTTATAGCATGGGGTGGCTGCAAGGTTCTTTTTAGTGGGGTCTTCCCTTGTGGAAAAGGGTGGTGCAGCAGGGATTTGGGGGGCCAGGGAAAAGAACCAGGCAGGGATTTGGGGTCAGAAAACAACCAGGCAGCTCCTTTTTATCCTGCAAGGAATATGAAATTTGAAGCCCAAAATATTGCCCAGAGTGGAGGAGATGCCTCAGTTTCTGCCCCCCCCAAGTACCTGGTGGTTTTTCACCTTCAGCTGCTGGAACAGAGCAGCTTGGAAGTTTCACATTAAAGGAGATTTTGGAAGTTCAAGTGTGCAGCAGGTCAGGCAGGCTTGGCTCTGGGCAGGTGGTTTAATTGCAATTAAATTAGTGTCCTCAGGAGTTCATGTGCAACAGAGAAAGGGGAAGGGCTGGAGTGTGGTGGAGGGTTTGTGGGGTTTATTCTCATTAAAAAGCACTTGAACCATGCAGGGTTTAATCAGGGGCTGGGTCAGGCTGAGCTCAGGAGATGCTCAGGGAGTGTTTTCCCTCTCCAGGAGCATCTGAGTGCCCATTAACTGACCTCTTCCAATGCTTTTTCCTCTAATTTTCTCCACCTTTGGGTTCTGAGATTTTAGGTGCTTTGTCCAGAGTGATCCAGCCCAGCCAAGGTTGGAGACAGGTCCTTGAGTTCCTTACTCCAGGTTGGAAAGCAGCCAGGGTGTGAATCAGGGCTGGATTTTGCAAAACATTCCCATTTTTAGGCACTTTTGTTTGTGACCCTTTGATGGTGACAGCATAAGAATGTGAATGGGATCATCCTGGAGTGGTTTGGGTTGGAAGGGAATTTAAGGATGATCCTATTCTACCCCTATCCCAGCTCCATCCCTCTGCCCATCCTGGGGGAACCCTATCCTGAGCAGCAAATTAAAAAATCTCCCTTGGAGCTCCCAGCAGCCCAAGGCAGCAGCAATCAGTGG